CCCTCTGACCGCCCCCCATCCACCCCCTCCGAACTCCCCTGCCCTCTGTCCAACACCCCCGCCCCGCTCCCTGCCCCCTTACCGCGCTGCCTGGAGCACTGGTGGCTGGCGGTGCTACCGCCGCGCCGCCCAGAGCACCAGGACAGGCAGCTGCACCGCCCGGCATCAGCCACGCCACCACGTAGCACAGAGACCGGGTCAGGCCAGGCTCTGCAGCTGCGCTGCCCCAGGAGCTCACAGCCCCACCGCCCAGAGCATCGCGCCCGCAGCGCGGTGAGCTGAGGCTGTGGGGCAGGGGGAACAGCAGGGGAGGGGCCGGGGCCAGCCTCCCAGGCCAGGAGCTCAGAGGCCAGGCAGGAGGGTCCTGCGGGCCTGTAGTTTGCCCACCTCTGCTGGGGCAGGGATCGGGGCCGGGCACACGCAGCCCTATGCTCCGGCTCCCACAGGCCAGCCAAGGAAGGGGGCAGGAGAGGGATCGCCACAAGGCTGTGATTTATGGATGATCTGTATTGCAGCGGGGCCGTACACACGCAGAACAGAGACAGTCCCTGCCCCCAGAGCTTCCAGTCGGAGCAGTTCAGTGGTAATACGGAGCTAGCCCCTTCGCTGAGGGGCTGCAGGATGCCCCCTCCAGCCGACTCTGCAGAGACTCCTTCAGCGACCATGCAAGGCACAGATGTGGTACCCACAGGGCACGGCATCTCAGCATCCCACAGTGCACAGCAGCCGGGGTGAGAGCATCTCGCCTGCTCAGTCCAGTCCAGTCCCCTGCTCTCCTTGTCCCGCCCGAGCTGGGGGACCCCCATGGACCTAAACCTGCCCGCTGCTCATGGAGGTGAGCTGACCCTGGGCCTCATCCCCTAGGTCTGCCTCCTCCTCCTGGAGGATGTCAGCCAGGCGGCTTTGCCGGAAGCCCCAGCTCATCCCCACGTAGATGATGGGGTTGAGGCAGCTGTTGACGTAGGCCAGGCTGACGACGAGGGGCTGGGTGGCATCTGCCAGCTTGTACAGACGGGCGCTGGGGGCGTGGGCGGCCAGGATCAGCCCCACCACGTGGTAGGGCAGCCAGCAGGCAAAGAAGCCGACGATCACTACCAGCACGACCACCGTGGGCCTGTGCCATCGGACCAAGCAGCTACCTAGGACACGGGCCAGGACCAGGCCGTAGCAGGTGGCGATCACCACGAAGGGGACCAGGAAGCCGGCGGCGAAGCGGAAGGAAGCGACGGACACCTCAACGGCGGTCTGGTAACTGGACACTTGAGCGTACTCCAGGACACACATCACTTTGTCTGAGAACGCTTCGGCGTGCGTCTTCCGGAAGATGAAGGTTGGGAGGGTCATGAGCAGAGCCAGGAGCCAGGCTGCCCCACTCACGCCCCAGGCCACCCGGGTCGTGCGGTGGTTCTGGCACCAGACGGGCCTGGTCACCAGGGCGCAGCGGTCCACGCTGATGGCCGTCAGGAGCAGGACGCTGGCAAACATGTTCAGGATGGTGAGGGATGGGAGCAGCTTGCAGGCGAAGTCACCCAGCTCCCAGCGGTTGCCGCGGGCCACGGGCACGGCCAGGAACGGCAGCGCCAGGCAGCACAGTAGGTCGGCCACCGCCAGGTTGAGGAACCAGACGGTGTTCACCGTGCGCTTCATCCCGTAGCCGATCACCCAGATGACAGCCGCATTCCCCAGCACGCCCAGCAGGAAGACGAGGGAGTAGAGAACCAGAGACGCCCACAGGACTGGGGTCAGCTGCAGATCCGTCGTGTGGAAGACAGGCGCAGTGAAGTTAGAGTACGAGTCAAGATCGTAGTAATCATACAACTCGGTGACGTTCATTCTGCCGCAGGATCCGCCCCCTGAAAACCAAATTCGGGTTGAATAAAATTCTCTCCCTTTTCTGCTCTGAAATGGCACCATCCTCCCAAGGCCCGATGCTCGCTACAGGAGCCAGCCAGGCCTGGATGTATCAGTGCATAGACCTGGCGACGGGGGACGGAGGGGTCCCCGGTAGGCACCGCAGCTCCTTCCCGTGCTGGTGTCGCACCCCCAGAGGCTGGTCCCACGCGTGGAGGAGCCGTGAGAGCCCGACGAGGCCACGTGAATGATTTCACCAACCAGCCCCCGGCTCAGCAATTCCAGGCCCCGTGATTTCTCTGTGGGTTCGAGACACCCAGAGCCGCAGCCGGGACTCCTGCCTGCTGGATAAAATCCCCCCACACCATGTACATACCGCAGCCACATCCCGGCCGGGGGGACCCTGCTGCAGGAGTCTCTGCCCACGGCCCAGTGGGTGCAGTAATGCCCCCCCCTTTCTGTGGCGCTCCAAGGGCTAATTCCTGTCACCTTGGGCGCTGCCTTGGCATGGGACGGGGCCCTGCCCTGACGTCACCCTGGCCTGCAGCGGTGGGGGAGTGACTGACGCAGTCACACGCAGCGCGCCCAGCTGAGACTGGGGCCCGGTTGTGCCAGGGGCTGCACACAGAGTGAGAGACAGGCTCTGCCCCAAAGAGCCGGCAATGCAAACGGACAGAATAGGGCTCGTTCTCCCCACACGGCAGCCGGGGGCCGAGGCCTGGAGAGGTGGAGTTACTCACCCCAGGTCGCAGTGGGCGTCGGTGGCAGAGCTGTGCGTTGGAGCCAGGTCTCCTGAGTCCCAACCCGGTGCCTTCCCCACTGGCTCACCCGCCTCTGCCGGGGCTTCGGCTCCAAGCTGTCCCCACCCAGGCGCGGGACGGCCGCTGCTGCGCTCCGTGGATGGGAGTCGTCGCTGCTTCCCTGCCGCATAAAGGGAAACCTCAGCCCAGGGCACCGAAGGGTTAACAGGACCCCCTGCCCCGCATGCCCCTCCCTGAAGAGACCCAGGCCTAGCTGGAGCTGTCCCTGCGGTTTGCTTTGCATCACCCCAGAGCATTGGGCAATGGGGCCTGGCTGCCGGGAGGAGGAAGCTAAGTTCCAGAGAATGGGGAAGCTGGGAATTCTGCAACGGCAGCAGAACGGGCCGGACGCGCGGCCGGGAGGGGCTGCAGGGGGCTCTGGCCAGAGCCGGGCATCAGGGTGGGGTGATGGGCATTCTGGGCTCTTCCCTGTGTTTGCCACGCAGTCCCGGCCCGGGGCTCCCCCTGTCAATGCCCCAGCCCAGGCAGGGCGGAGGCGAGCGCAGGCTGTCGGGGCCGGGGTACAGGGGGTCACTCACTCAGCTGTCACACACGTGAACAAGGCGTGTCACGGACACCGCCGCAGACGGTGCCGGGGATGATTCCGAGCTGCCGGCCGGACTCCGGCAGTGAATCCTTTATTAGCCCTTTCTACTCAGAGTCTGTTTATGAAGCAGGGCCCACCGCACGGACCCGCACCAGTCCCCAGCGGATGGCACAGAGAGAAGCAAACAAACTAGCACCAGCCTTTGAGTCCCGCCCCCCAGGAGCAGGGTGTGGGTCACTGCCGGCTGCTCCTCAGAGCAGGGCTGGCCGGGGGCCCTGTCAAAATGCGCTGGTGAGAGACTCCCCACTCAGTGCCTGGCCGCTCTGCAGCATCACAGCCGGGGCTGGAGCGGGATCTTCCCACCCCCAACACCGACCAAGAGCCCAGGTCCCCCAGAGGGAGGAGGCGGCTTTAGCGGTGCTCGCAGAGACCTGACAAATTCACAATGCCCAGCATCGAGGGCGTGGCCAGCCTGGACCAGCCCAGGGTCCCTCTAGCCCAGTCTTCAATAGAGGCCATTGCCCACTGCTGCAGAGACGGTGATGGGATAATGTGCCCTCCACCTCGCCCCTGCCCGGTGAGGGGTCAGCTCCGGCCCCGAAGCAGAGGGACTGGGAGCCCTCCACAGAGCGGAGATGGGGGCCACTTCCCCAGGGGCTGGTGTGCTAAGAACTCCACCCAGAACCGCTGCAACAGCCCGCAGCCTCTTGCACAAGCCCCGACATTTCTGCATTTCTAACTCCTACAGCTCCCCCCACCCCACACACCCCCACAGCTGAGTATGAACTGGGACAGCTGCCACCCTGGGCAGGGGTGCGGGGGCCGATTGCGTCAGCAGCTGCCGGTTTGCTTAGGGCAGCAAGAACATTCCCCAGCTGTCCTGTGACCAGCCTCCAAATAAACACCAGAAACGAGAACTGGGGTTAGTGTCTGGCTACTGCCCTGGGGGGTGGGGGAGAGGCCTGGGCACAACTGCCAAACGCACCCCCTGTGACGAACTGGGACTGTTCTTACTGTGGTCTGTGAATGCTGACAGGGGAGTGTGGCTGGGATAGTCTGCATTGCGGGATGGGAGACTGACCGATGGAGAATACCTGAGCGTGTAACATGAGAACCCAGGAAGGGGTTAGAGGCCAGGTAACACCTTGGAAACTGAACAAAGGCTGTGGGAGGGGTCGCTGAAGGCAGATTTTCAGGAGCTGGCTGGTGATGTGGCTGGGAGGCAGACAGGGCTCTGACCTCCCAAGGGGGCTGGGGTGCCCTGGGACCCCAAGATAGACCTAACTGAGGGGGGGCCCTGTTGTCTGTGCCTGCAAGACCTGTCTTGGACTGTATTCCTGTCGTCTAAATAAACCTTCTGCTTTACTGGCTGGCTGAGAGTCATGGTGAATCGCAGGAAGCCGGGGGTGCAGGGCCCTGAGTCCCGCATACTCCGTGAGACACACACACACCCCCCCCCCGAGGATCCTGCTGACCCCAGGGTCAGGTGTGTAACCAAATCAGCCACCTTTCAGCTGGGCTCTGGATTTGTTAGCGGTGGGGGCAGGGGCCTGTCCTTTACAGCCCCTAAGACAACGGGGGCTGGGATAGGATTGGGGCCTTTAGGTGCGACCATAATTCACAGGTTTCAGAGTAGCAGCCGTGTTAGTCTGTATCCGCAAAAAGAACAGGAGTACTTGTGGCACCTTCGAGACTAACAAATTTATTTGAGCATAAGCTTTCGTGGGCTACAGCCCACTTCATCGGATGCATAGAATGGAACATACATAATTCACAGACTCACTGGAGATGTTTCTGCTTGCACCCTCCTGGCCAGCGTGTGCTGCCCCTGCCCCTGCCGCTCCCTCGCTTGTGGCACATCGAAAAGCCCCCAGCACCCAGCGGCTGGGCTCCTTGGATCGTGACCCCCCTGCACCGGCCCGGATCTGACCGCGGGATCAGAGTCCTGGGGCCAGGGAACGTCACGCTCCGTGTCCGCTGGGAAGCACCCGACTCGGTGTGCTTCAGGGCCACGGACTGAGGCAGAGGGAAGCCCCTCACCCTCCGCTCATCAGACCCCACCAGGCACCCAGCCTGTGGCGCCTTTCAGACACGCTGCTTTCATGGCCTGCCCCCGCCCCATGTCTCCGCATGTCCCTAGCTACGTCCCACGGCAGACGCCCAGGAAAACACCAGAGGTGATGAGCTCAGCTAGGAACAGGGCTTCTGCTTTTCAGTTTTTAACCCTGAAGCACCAGCCCAACATCCCAACACAAACTCCAATGCAGCGACAAAGAGGCACGTTTATTCACTGAACACGGGGAGCAGTTACTCGGGTCTCCCGGGAGCAGCACCGTGCACTGGGGGGGCAGGAATCCGAAGGACCCCCCCACTGTGTGGTGCATGAATTGGTCCGCACAGGGGACCCTGGCAAAGAGAGACCTCTGGACAATGTGTGCAGAACCAGCGCCCCGAGAAGCCCAGCCTTGTGGACAGCGCCATAAACTGCTAAATGTAACACACACCCCAACCCTCCCTTCAGGGCGTGGCAGCCCCATTCCCAGCCCCTCGGGTGCCTTGTCCCCCGGCCCTGACAAATAAACAGGTGGCTTCATGCCCCCCCAGATGCCCCACACTCATCGTCACAGCAAGAGTCAAGGAGAGACCCGGCAGCAGCCACGTCTGTGTTTATGGCAAACCTGGAAACACCCCCAGGATCACATTGGCGCTGACCCAGTGGGCGACGGAGGGGCCTCGCCCAGGGTAAGCAGAGCCGCGTACAGGCTAATGGAGGAAGGCGGAGCGCCAAGGAGCAAGCCACAGAGCCACTGTTTATCTGCCAGGGCAGGGGGACCTCAGCCCAGGGCCGAGGGGGCGCCGCAGGGACCGGGGCTGCCAGGCCCGGAGGGAGCAATGCACAATCACACGGGGCTGGAGGGAGGGTCATGGTGAGACCTCCTGGGGGGTTCCGGGACCACGGATCAGGGCAGGACTCACGCTACCTCTGCCCAGCCAGTCCCAGCTGCTCCAGAGGCCGGTGTGCAGGGACGAGACACGAGGGGTGACGGAGCTGGAACCGAGCCCCGACAAGGGATGGCCGCTGTCTGTGGACGTCGCGGGATGAAGCTGTTGGTTCAGTTCAATCGGTGTCTGGCCGCACAAACCAGCAGGAAGGACGCAGGACAGCTCAAGATAAGCCACTGTTCAGCAAATGCCTGAGTGCTGGTAGGAGATAGCGCCAGGCCAGCCCGAGGCCTGTGCACGCCCGCGAGCAAAGGGATTCAAGCGTCTCCTGGGAGGGGCTGTTTGGGGGGGCCAGGGTGACATGCAGGAGCCGCTGGGGCAACTGAAGACGCCGGCCCTGTCTAGATCCCCATCGCAGAATGGTTTTAGGTAGGAGAGAAATGGTCGCAGACTGTTTTTAAAACCCTTTTCCCCTTTAAATGCTTTGTTCCTATGGTTAAAACAAACAATACTTTGGCTTGCTGGGCACCGGCTCCCAAAGGGAAGCCCAGAGGTGCCAGGACTCACTCAGACCCCCTGGGTCAGCACAGGGTGCTGTGTCCCAGGCCTGGGCCTGGCAGAGGTGCACTCAGACCTGTCAGCTCCTGGGAAGTCTCTCCCTGGCCCAGTCAGTCAGGGGCTGGCTCGTGCCCTGGAGCAGGAGGGTGATTTCCTGCCAGTCGTCCTCCCCATGACACAAAACCCAAACCACCAACATATCCGGGATGGTGCCTCTGCAGGGTGCTGGGGGGGTGGGGCGGGGCGGGGGCAGTTGGCTCCAAAAACCGAATCCCCAAAATCCCAGCCCTAAAAGGGGGAAGTTACAGAAAATTCCGAGCCTCTGGCAACAGGGGTGGGAGGCTAGAAACTCTCCCGTAATCTTCCCCTGGTGGATGCTGCTTGCCTGGCTCTCAGGTGCTCGGCCGCACCCATGCAGAGTGCGTGCCCAAACGCTGCCCCGTTCCGACCTGTGCTTCACACCCTGGGCTGGTGCCGACGACTGCATAAGGGACAGGGAGAGTCACACCCTGCGGCCCTGGGTCTCTGTAAGCACCGTGCTAGGGAAGGCGGGTCTCTGTCGCCCTCTTGTGGCTGATTTGACTAAGAGGGTAACAGGCTACTACTGCTGCCTGGCAGAGGAGTTACCCCCGTAGCTTGGGAGAGAGGAACCCAGGCCGAGGGCCACCAGCTCCAGCCTGGCTCTTGGATTGGCAAGCACCCAATGCAGGGCTCCTGCCTGGGACAGCTGCAGAGCTGAGGGTGAGACTCCATACGCCACATCTCTATAGTTAGCCTCCTGGAGGCAGGTTCTCTCTCGGAGGACCCCAGCCAGAGAGGAGACCCCACTGCATGGAGGTCTCCAACCACAGAGAGGACCCGAGCCAGAGAGGAGACCCACCCAGAGTGTGGCCTGTAGCCATGGAGATGTGGTTGTAGAGCGATTCCGGGTGTTGTTCCAGTCATGTCTCTATGGCAGAGGGATTGCTGGGGGTGGGGCCAGACTGAGGGGAAGGGATGGAGAAGGAATTTGGAGCAGAGGGACATGGGGAACTGGAGATTGGAGGGAATCAAGGCAGGAGCTGGGAGGGTAGGAAGGGGAGTGAGGCACCAAAGGGTTGGATGATGGGGAAATAGGAGAATGAGAGCATGACTATTCAGATATGCAAATGTAGAGGTGGCACTATGTGCATTAAATCACCGTCTGCCCCACCCCACAGCCTGCAGGGCCTGGGGGGCGCAGGGGCGGTGGCCGCACCCCAGGGTAACGACAGTGAGTGAAGGGGAGGCAGCCGTCACCTGACATGTCACAAGCCCGGCTCACGGTGGGGCTGCCAGAGGCCCGTTCCCCAGCTCACACCCCGATGCTCCGGTCCTCCATCGTGGACTTGGTCTCCTGAGTGAATCTGGTCTTCTTCCTGCTGTCACCCACGGAGAGCGAATCCTCGCTCAGCACGTTGCGGAGGATGGTCTTCAGCGAGCGCTGGAACCGGTCTTTGAAGTCCTGGCCCATGATGACGTAGATGACGGGGTTGAGGCAGCTGTTGACATAGGCCAGACCCACAGTCAGGGGGTCGGACTCAGAGGCACCTTTGAACAGGCTCGTTCTGGACTTGTTGGTGGCCAGGATCAGCCCCACCACGTGGTAGGGGAGCCAGCACACGAAGAAGCCGACGATCACCACAAGAATGACCTTAATGGTCTTGCGCGAGCGAGTGAAACGGCTCCTGTGGACGCGGGCCAGGACCAGGCCGTAGCAGGTGGCGATCACCACGAAGGGGACCAGGAAGCCGGCGGCGAAGCGGAAGGAAGCGACGGACACCTCAACGGCGGTCTGGTAACTGGACACTTGAGCGTACTCCAGGACACACGTCACTTTGTCTGAGAACGCTTCGGCGTGTGTCTTCCGGAAGATGAAGGTTGGGAGGGTCATGAGCAGAGCCAGGAGCCAGGCTGCCCCACTCACGCTCCAGGCCACCCGGGTCGTGCGGTGGTTCTGGCACCAGATGGGCCTGGTCACCAGGGCGCAGCGGTCCACGCTGATGGCCATCAGGAGCAGGACGCTGGCAAACATGTTCAGGATGATGAGGGATGGGAGCAGCTTGCAGGTGAAGTCACCCAGCTCCCAGCGGTTGCTGCGGGCCACGGGCACGGCCAGGAACGGCAGCGCCAGGCAGCACAGTAGGTCGGCCACCGCCAGGTTGAGGAACCAGACGGTGTTCACTGTGCGCTTCATCCTGAAGCCCGTCACCCAGATGACAGCCGCGTTCCCCGGCACGCCCAGCAGGAAGACAAGGGAATAGAGAACCAGAGCTGCCCACAGGATGGGGGTCAGCCGGAAAGGCTGCGGATCCGGCGTTTCGAAGATGGGCGCAGTGAAGTCAGGGTACGAGTAAGGATCGTAGTCAGACAAGTTGGTGACGTTCATTCTGCAGCAGGGTCTGTATCCTGTAAACAAACAATAAAATACAAAGGCTAGTCACGTCCTGCTACTCTGCGGGAATGGCACCGTAACCGCATAGTTGTATTAAAACACAGATCCAGATTGGCCTGTGGAACTCAGCGACATAAGATCTCTGTGAGGCCAGGAGCTTAGCGGCATTTTTAAAAAAGAACTGAACATTTGTACTCATGGGACCGCCTGGCGTCCCGCTGGGAAGGACTCAGGAAGTGTGGCTGGGATCTAAACTGACTGACAGGCGTTGTGGGGGGGACCTTTCCCTGCGGATGGGCTGCTCCCCCTTGGGAGCTGGGCTGAGGCCCCCAGCGCCTTTCGCACAGGCCAGCGAATGCCCATTGGAGGCTAAGGACCTGGGCCCGAGCGTCTCCGCGCTCTGCTCCCAGGCTGCCCAGTTGCAGGACGACTCTGCATTGTGAAGCCAGTTGCCCAATGTCGCATCCTTCCCATGATGAAAGAGGAAAGCCGTGTAATTGGGGCAGGAAGGAAAAAGCAACTGCTATTTATAAAGCACTCTCTCCGGGCGAGAGCCCTGAGCCGGGAGGCATGGGCAGCAATGCCTACAGGACTGGGCCCTCGGTGAAAACCCCCGTCCGATTGGTGCAGGTTGCTGCGCTGAGCTGGGCCCCACGTGGATAGCAGTAAGGGCCTGAGCTCGGCATCTCCCCCTGCTTTAGGCTGGTGACAAGAATAATGTGATCGTGCAACAGCAGAACCTCAGATTCACGGATTCTCTCCCCAGCGCGGGGAGGGGAGGGGAGTGGGTCAGAGCAGGGGGCTGGGAGCCAGGACTCCTGGGGTCTATTCCCAGCTCTGGGAGGGGAGCGGGAGCTATTGGCTACCCAGGGGCTGCTGGGAGCCAGGACTCCTGGGGTCTATTCCCAGCTCTGGGAGGGCAGTGGAGTCTAGTGGCCAGAGCAGGTGATGGTGCGTCAGCACGTACAGTTACTAACGAAGCTAAATGTGCAGAAATGAGGTTCTTTAGCCCAAGGCAGATGGCAGCTCCAATGCTGCGGAGTTTCTAGCCACAGAACAATCCAATTTCCCAAAGGCAGCGTTTCGTAAACACAGGAGCCCTTCTGCCAGGGCTCGAAGCAGGCTGGGTGGTCATAACTATTGGGGGACAGACAGCTCAGGGCGTGGGGGTGCCCTGGCACCAGACACGTATCGGAGCTAATTGGCAGAGCAGTGTGGTTGTACACCGATCCAACCAGGCTGGGTTAAACGCAGATCAAGCCCCTAGCTGCCAAAAACAGTGACTTAAACTATTTTAACTGAACTAGAGAACGGAACCGGGAAAAAATCCCTGGTGCAGGGGAAGTCTCAAGCCTGGTGCACACAGGAACGTGTGACCGGTTCCACCAGTCGAGTTACACGGGGGTAAGCCGCCGAGGGGCATTGAGTCCAGTATCAGAGCGGCTTTTTCCGGTTAGCTCCAACTCCTTCCCAAGCAACCTCAACTACACTGAAAGCCACTGCTCTGATGCGGAATAAGTGTGTCTACACGGGGGTGACCCCAGTATAACTGCACCACTTTACATTCATACCAAAAAGCTCACTCGTGTAGAGGCAGGCCAAGCCTTGTTTTACGGCAGTGACGAGTTGCCCATTAGAGAAGAGCGGGCGCGGGTGCCAGGAATTGAGCTGTCAGCATCAAACGGAACAGGCTTGCCACACCACGGACCAACCCCGAGACCGTTCCAACATCTCACATGCTGACCCACAGCCTATCTAAAGCTCCACCCCAAATGCAGCCATCGCGACAGGCAAATCTTGACCTGGGACACGACTGGTCTGGTGTGGGGTGATTTGTGGGCAGACTATCAGAGCGAGCCCAGGGGACCGGGATGGGGGGGGGGAAAGCAAATGATCTAGGAGCTCCAGCCCAGAGCCAGCACTTAACCGTCTCACCTGGATTCTGATAGACACCCTCCTTTGATCCGGCCACTTTCAGCAACGCCCCGAGCGGCTTAACAACAAGCTTCGAGGCCAAACCAGTCTATCCATAGCAACTTGTGCCTGTCTGGGAGAATGACAATGCCAGAGAGGCTGGACAGGAGCTGCCCGCAAAGTGCAGGCAGGAAGACATCGGCATTTGCCCCATGGGCTCGGCTGTTCCCCGCTGGAAGGCCCCACCACGCCCCCGAGAAGAGATGGCTCTGGGCCCGCGGCGCAGAGCTAAGCAAGCACTCACCCCGTGTGCCCAGACCCCACAGGCTACGTCCGTGCTCCAGGCGATTTTCGCAAGTGCGGACAGGCAACGAAGGCTGAGGTTTTATAATGCCGCAAACAGGAAGCTCCAGGGCTCTGCAGAGAAATTGCCTAGTTCAGCCCTTAGGAGCAGGGAGAGGGGTCAGAGGTGGGGTGGCGGCCCAGAAAGGAACCTGGCTGTGGTGGAGGCTTCCACCCCCATTCCTGGAGCTCTGGGTTTGATTCCCAGTGCTGCCACCCTCACCTAAACCCCTCGGGGCCCCGTTCTCCGGCCCCCCAGCACTTCATGCAGGCGTTTACACCCGTGAAACGCCCCCCAGGTCAGGACAGCTACACTCTCCCGTGGGGTAAATGACGGTGCAAGGTACGTTCTCAGCTCCCTGTCTGGTCTCCGGACCGGTGCAAACACACACCTGCTCAGGACGGAGGCGGTGATGGCAGAGGGCCCCTGCGCAGGCAGACGAGTCGGGCACAGGAGATCTCAAAGGGGCTGTTTGGAACAGAATTGCATCCTGGGGAGATTAACTCAGCCAGCCAAGTGGGTGAGGTTTTGGCTCACATGAGCCTTCTTCCCCAGCGGCTCAGAGCCACTGAGCCATGGCAGGACACCTGTCTGCTGCCAGCAGCCACGTCGCTGCAGATAGCCTGGGCAGCTGGGGCCGGGGAGAGTCTCCTCTTGCAAAAACCTCACCTCAGCCTCCTTCCTGCTGCAGCACCAGGGTGGGTGAGTGCCCCGCTCCCACACCAGGCTGTGAGCTCCTTGCCATGGGGCCTCCCAGCTGTCTGCATCTTGGGCGCTACCCACAGAACCCAAACCCCCCTGGTGCACCTCGGCCCTGCCCCTGAGGGACCCTTTGGGGGGGCTCCATCCCAGAGCCCATTCAGACTTCTCCTCTGCTGAGGCTGCAGCAAGGGGGGTAGCTACGGGACGGGGGGTAGGAACCAGCCCTACCTACATCTCCTTCTACCCAGGAGAGAGGGAAGCAGAGGGATCTCAGGCTGTAGCCCCCTCCCGGAGCTGGGGCAGGAACACGGGATCCCTCTGGGGTAGCTCCCTGCGGCCCTCCCAGCTGAGAGGCCTTTGCTAGCTGCGGGGGGTGGGGCGGGGGCCCACTTCAGGCCTGATTCTGCCTCTCCGTTCCTACTTGAGAAACTCCACGATTGCACCTGTGTGAGTGAAAACGGGCACCTGGGCCGTCTCTTCATTAGTCACCTGGGGTCCCACCTCCCCTCCACCCCTCTGGGACCCAGGACTCTGGGGGCCTAGCCCCGGCGCTAGACAGGGGAGCTAGTGGTTTAGAGCAGCAGGGGCTAGTGGTCAGAGCAGCAGGGCTCCCGGGTTCTGTTCCCTGCGGCTCTGCGCCCTGATGGAGCCCCATATTCCTCCCGCTGGCCATGCCAGTAGCTCTGCGAAAGGCAACGTGGGGGACACACCCCAGCTCTGGCACAAGGATGATGGGGGAGCAGACAGAATCTCACCCCTAAACCCTTTGACTATGTCCTGTAGAGGAGCTGCTGCCCACGAAGTGCAGGCAGGAAGACATCGGCATTTGCCCCATGGGCTCGGCTGTTCCCCGCTGGAAGGCCCCACCACGCCCCCGAGAAGAGAGGCTCCAGGCCTGCGGTGTAGAGCTGAAGAATGAAATTGTGTTTTCCATATTGTATCAAAAACTCCATTTTGAAATGCTTAGTCCATTTTGCAAAACCTGCTGTAACCTTATTAACTTAGTTCAGATGTGTGAGTGAGGGATGCATGGATAATGGGATCAACCTCCAGCCCCAGCCTGTCCCCATAAGGTAAAGTGCAAACACCAAGGGCTGAAGAGGCAGACAACAGCCCTGATAAAGTGAGAAGAGTCCACCCTAAAAGAAAAGAACAAAGGTGCCACTGAAACAAGATCAAAGCCAGGTCCGAGGCTGACAGTCACATCTGCAATTGACGGGTGATCCATCACACCGAACCCAGAGGCAGCGCGACACAGCAAGACCCATAGACTCTTGTTCAAACTAAAGCCTACAAAAAGGATGGGTGAGGTGGAAGAGTTTGGGTAACATTCTGCTGCCAACATCAAAGGGCATCGGTGTGCGCCTGACAGAGACGGGCTCTTCCGCGTGCCCGGCTTTCCTGGCCAGTTACCACCACGAACTACGAACCCAAGCTGTGAAATGAAGCCACGGGAACAGCGGCGCAGAGCTAAGCAAGCACTCACCCCATGTGCCCCGACCCCGCAGGCTGTGTCCGTGCTGCAGGCGATTTCCCAAGCGCCAATGGGCAGCGAAGGCTGAGGTTTTATAATGCTGCAAACAGGAAGCTCCAGGGCTCTGCGGGCGAATTGCCAGTTCAGCCCTTAGGAGCAGGGAGAGGGGTCAGAGGTGGGCTCGGGCCCGTCTGCTCCGATGTGGAACCAAGACTGGAGAGAGGAGAGTAAGCAGAATCCTGATTCTGACTTGTTGGTAGGCATTGATTATGTCCCTGTAAATCGAGTCCAGTCTCTGGGTGGTGGATCTAAAAGCAAGAATGCAGGAGAGTGTCCGGGTAGATGCTCAGAGCCCAGAGGGGCTGCAGTTGGTGGACACACCCAGCCAGCCACGGGATTCTTTAAGCAGGGAGGTTCAGATCTCAACCCTCTAGGAGAAAGGTGAAGGGGAAAAGACCTGAGCCTGCTGATGGGGAGAGTGAGTCAACTCTAAGAAGGGAAATGAAATTTTGCGGTATGCACAATGATGAGAATTTGAAAACTAGTGTCAGTGTTGATGCAAATTACCAGTCTGACAAGGGAGGGGGAAATTTGCCTATAGTTGTTGGCACAGAAGATACACCAAGTCGGAGCTTATAAGGATAAACTACCTATTTTCAAGAACTCCTGGCAAGATCACAAAAGGTCCAATCCGCTATTGACCTAGTCAAATATTACCACGGGTTTGTAAGGGGATTCAGTAACATTGTTATTTCCATGATAAACCTTACCAATAAAAAGCCTGTTCTAGTCAAACCTGATTTTGAGAAACCATTTCGGTTACACACTGATAATATTGATGTGAAACTGAAAAGTCTAATAATACTTGTGACGTTGCAGTCTATATGATTTTATGAAAATATGCTAATGAGTTAATATAATTTGTAACTGGAATATGCTTCATGCAAAAGGTCTCTTGTAAGGTATCATTACAAAGCTTATAATCTCCTGAGTGTGGTCATCCTATTTGTATAAATGTACCACTCTTGTGTCTGAAACTAGGAATATGAAATATAACTCTGGAGCCCTATTGTAATTATGCAAAGTGTGGGCCATTAATGGTGCTTTGGAACCTTGATGGCTCCCATTGACTAGGACAATTGACTGTAGGTGGCTGTGTTTACCTGGAAGTCTTCCTGTAGTGTGTGCTGGCAAGTGGGCAATGAAGTCTTGCAGTGACATGTGATCATGTCACCTGAACTGGAATCCATCTTTAACCTGGTGCTTTTCCAGTGAGAAGGGGGTGGGTGGGAACCTAGAGGGACAAAGGATTCCCGCCTTATGCAAAAGATATATAAGTGGGTGGAACAGAGAATAGGGGGAGCCATCATGAGAAATCCCCTAGCTACCACCTGACCTGGAACAAGGACTGTACCAGGGGAAAGGGTTGGGCCCAGACTAGGAAGGCGTCCAGTCTGTGATAGAAGCTTATTGGAACATCTCTGAGGGCGAGATTGTATCTGTATTCAGTTTTCTTACAGTATTAGGCTTAGACTTGCATGTTTTATTTTATTTTGCTTGGTAATTCACTTTGTTCTGTCTGTTATTACTTGGAACCACTTAAATCCTACTTTTTGTATTTAATAAAATCACCTTTTACTTATTAATTAATCCAGAGTATGTAATAATATCTGGGGGGGGCAAACAGCTGTGCGTATCTCTCTATCAGTGTTATAGAGGGTGAACAGTTTATGAGTTTACCCTGTATAAGCTTTATACAGGGTAAAACGGATTGATTTGGGGTTTGGACCCCATTGGGAGTTGGATATCTGAATGCTGGAGACAGGAGCACTTCTTAAGCTGTTTTTGGTTAAGCCTGCAGGTTGTGGGTGACGTGGTTCAGACTTGGACCTGTGTTGCAGCAGGCTAGCATGTCTGGCTCAAACAAGGCAAGGCACTGAAGTCCCAAACTGGCAGGGAAAACGGGCTCTGAGGTAGTCTAGGCACATCAGGTGGCAGTTCCCAACGGGGTTTCTGTGATCCAACCCGTCACAATACTGAATGAAAAATTCCTGTGATGCCTTCAGCGGTGCATAGGGACACCCCTTTCTGCATCAATTTTGCGTGGGGGGATGTGACGCTGTTTGGAATATGGGAGACTGGAGGATATCTGCTGACAGCCAGCCTGGATGCGACAACTCCCACAGCTGGGAATGGGCTAAAGTGACACGGTCTCTCCCTCACCTTGCAACCCCCCCTACTCCCTGCAACCCCCACTCCTCACCCTGCTCCTCCAACCCCTCACCCTACTCCCTGCATCCCCCACCCCTCACTCTGCTCCCTGCAACCCCCACCCTCACCTCCCAGCCCTCACCCTGCAACCCCCACCCT